AGGCTCAGCAGTGGGCATGGGTGTTCAAATGGCCCAGTAAGGTGCAATATGGCAAACAGGGAGGAGAATACCAGGATTTTGTATTCTCTACGTAAGACTATTATATGATGGATTTGTAGTTCTGGGCAGCTGTCATAAAACTGATCCTAATGTTACAATGTAAAACATGTTAAGTCCAAATATTTCTTCCACATATACTCTTTCAAATGTGTCTAAATACCAGAAACTGGAAAGATTAGGAATGTGAGCATAAGAATAATATCCTGTAATTAGCACAAGAAGTCTGGGAGAAAAAATGTTAATTAATTTTCATTAAAAAAAATGAAACAGAACGCATGAATAGAGCTGAGCTGAAAACAGTTCCTGAAACAAAATGAGTTTTCCCCCATTTACCTCATTTACTATGATGCTGTATGACCTGCAAATTATTTAATCTCTTTCTATCTCCTCTACTAGAAAATCATGATAATATAATGCCAAGTCAGCAAGACTGTTGACATATAGTAAATACTGAGTACATCTTATTTATTAATAAAATTATTATCATTATCATGGAAGACTATAGCTTGACCTCTGAAAATAGGAAAATCACTGTTCCTTTTAATATTTATTATGGTCATACTATGATTTTTGAGTGAGTATATATGATAATGTTATTTGCTAGAAACAAGGCTACAGTCACATAATCTACTTTATGAAGAGCTGTCTTAAGAAAGATACTACTGAATTGAAATGAGATTGAGTCAAGACAACTTGTTTTTAGCGTTTCCTGGGGAAGTAGGGAGAAGGTGAGAGAAGTACATATAATTCTTTTGTAAAAATAGGATCACCCACAATGGTAACCATGAACACTTGTGTTTTTTTCTCTGTGGAGCAGAAGTAAAAATAGAGGGTCTGAAGCTAGGTGACTGGGACTTGCTAGTCTTTGTAATATACTAGAGATCAAGGAACACTTAATCTCAGAAAAGGAATTAAAAGAAAACTGGCCAGACATGGTGGCTCACACCTGTAAATCCCAGCACTTTGGGAGGCCGAGGCAGGTGGATCGCTTGAGCCCAGGAGTTCGAGACCAGCCTGGACAATATGGTGAATCCGTCTCTACTGAAAACACAATTACTAGCCAGGTGTGGTAGTGCATGCTTGTAGCCCCAGCTACTTGGGAGGCTGAGGCACAAGAATTGCTCGAACCCGGGAGGCGAAGGCTGCAGTGAGCCGAGATTTTGCCACTGCACTCCAGCCTGGTGGCAGAGACTCGGTCTCAAAAAAAAAAAAAAAAAAAAAAAAAAATTAGTTAAATTAGTATGACAAGAGCTAAGAAAGATCAACCTTGGATTTTTCATTCATTGATTCATTCTTGTGTTGGCTATGGTCTCAGGTGCTGTTCATTAGAAGTAGAATAAAATATGGTCCTTTCCTAAAGAAGTCTGTGGGAGGCAGTCATATAAACAGTCAGACATGCACTATAAGACAACAGAGAATCAGGTGCAAGGAGAGGCAGACCTGTGGAAAGGTGATCAACTTGGCCATGGCAGGCGAAGGGCTCCACAGAGTCTCAGAGTTTGTGACTGCACCTCTCAAAAAGGCTGCACATTATAGACTTTTAAGAATTATTTTCATCTTCTAACTTTCTTTTGAGTTACTATTTCCTACAAAATAATAAGAACAATGTTAAAGTTCCTTTGAAGACTTCAAAGAGATTTCCCACTCCTCAACAGAATATTGACAGAAGAAGCTGCTGCCAGTTTGCTGGGGGGATTCTGGAGGAGACGGAGGAGTGGAAGGCTCCTGGCAGCAAAGAAGGGGAGGTGGGAGGCCAGTTCCTGGGGTGATTGGAGGAAAGGGACAAGAGGAAGAGACTGGCTCAAACTCTGGCTGCTCCCTCACATATGTTCTTCCCTCTCAGCCCCTGGTCTTATTTCTGGTATCTCTTTTCCCATACTTCTCAGGCACAATCATCCATTCCCCTAGACACCTTAAAAAAATAACATCTGGCCGTGGAGAGATTTGCTTAGAACTTGGTTGGTAACTGCTCTCTGGGTGACCCCCCTCCTAGAAATACAGCCATTTTTAAAAGGAATGTCACAAAGAACAAAAATCTTCTGACTCAAGGAACTGTGTCTTCAGGGACAGAATGGCAAGAAGGAGCATAAAACATTGGGGTTCACTGCCCACCCCCAACATTGTACAAATCATCTACAGATGTAGTTATAGCTTCTGAGAGGCTGACTTGCCGATGAGCAGAGAGAAACCTTGTAACCAGGAAACTGATTACAGTCTGCAGTGAGCATCCTGGTATGAAAATTGAGATCCAGATTTTTTTTTTGGTGGGAGAGGGAATGTTATACTTGGGGAGCTATGGCTGTGGAAGGTAAGTCTGATTCTCAGAAGTACATCCCAGTAAAGGAGGCATCAATCCTCATCTCAGGTTACCACTTTCTTCACAGAGTTCAACTGCCTGGGAGTCTAGAGAATCTTAAGGCACCATCCCCTTCCCCCCAAAATGGCCAGGTTTCTTTGAATCCAAGTTCTTACTGTTCATGAGTTTAAACCACTATACTGCCTTTCCTTTTTATTTATTTATCTTTAGTATTATTTCTTCAGAGTCTAGGTTCTTAAGGCATCTCTAATTTTTATTTTGGATTTTTTCCCTGTTTATTTATAGGTCAATTTAAAATATGGCAAATGGGAGAAAATCCCTTAAATGTCTCAGTGATTCTGTAATAGCAACAGCACATCTTTATTTTACTAGTATCAGGATCATTCATGCCTGCCAAAATACAGACGGTTCCCTTAAACACTTGGACTCTGTCGTGGGACAGGTGGTAGGAAGTGGCATCAGATTTCCACGCTGGGTCTCATTTGGATAAATAGGAGTTCACTATTATAAGAAATAGAATTTGAACATTTATTTTATTCTTAGGTTTATCTTCTTATATTCACTTCTAAGTTACATATCCAGTTAGCGGTACTTCCTGATGGCTTACGTCTCACATCCAAAATTCCATGCCATCAGATGGAAAATTTGAGTGTCAGTAGAACTGCCGATGCTCACTTGCTACGCTAAAGGAACAAACGCAGAGTAGGATCTCTACATGGATATGTTTATAAATCTTTGCAGTGAAATTTGTCTATGTGGATGAGTTTACAAATCTACTACAATGAGATTATTGAAAGTATACATCAGGAGGCTTCCTATATGTAAGAAGAATAGGCACCACATAAATATTTCTTCTGAACTTTTTTTTGTGAATTGTTCCTGACCTTGGGATAGATGTCAAACTTAGCTTTTCATCAGTCTTGAAATGACTCAGCTATATTTTCAGCAGCTATTTAGAGACCATTCGTAGATCTGTATTTAGAAGTGATCTAGCCAGTATTTCTGACCAAAAGTGAAAAATCTAACTATATTAGTGTGAATCCTATATATTTCACAAAATACCCCCTTCCTTATTGTTAGTCTGGTTTCTGGTCTATATTTGTGGAGTGGGTGCAAATGATTCTTCGGCTTTGATTCTTTATGAGTTCTCTAGCAATACTCCAGGATTTAGTGAGATATTGTATTTCTCTTTTTGCAGTTTCCATTGTTACATTTCTAACAAATAATTCCCCTGACATCTTTAGGGGCAAATCTGAAAGCTGTCACACTCTTGTCACAGGGCCAGGTTAGAAATGCCACTACAGAAATGCCATGGCCAGGTTCCATTCTGCTGCTTCTGCTGCCTGTCATGTGGAACCACAGTCCTCTTTACCTGCGCCACCATCCAGTTACCATAGTGATTAAGCCAGAGCAGTACATCTCTTTCTGAAGTGTGCACAGCCAAAGCAAAGAATCTACCAACCTGGAATGCTAGTTGTAAAATTGCTGATTTTAACTGAGGAATTTCTCAAAATATAAACATCACGAACACAATAATGCACACTGGAAAAACTGAGCAGGAACGATTCTGTTAACACTCTAAGTTGCAAAGTGACAGCTGGTAGCTTTTGTGAATTGCAAAATAACATGAGCCTGGCTGGAACGTCTCCACTGCGGGGATAAATACTTCCAAGCATTGGACAGAAAATGAGACTAAGTAACACCTTCTGAGAATCTTAAAATGCGATCACTGAAAGGTCAGGTTAGCAGTTTTCCTTTTTAATATTAAAAACAAGCAGTGGAAGTGGATGGGGTGGTACTAAGTCCAGGTTGGAGGCTACTGGCAAAAAGCCCTCTTGAAATTGTAGGCTGAGAACGTAATTCAGGGTAATCTACATATACCTTGGTAAAGAAACCTTTGTTGAACACCTAAGTCCCCACTCGGCCACTAACATGCTGCGAGGCACCAAACAAGTGACAATTTCTTTGTGCTTCAATTCCTTCATCTGTAAAATGAGATATTTGGACGAACAGTCTTTAAGATCTCAGGCAGCCCTGAAATTCTATGATTCTAAAAGGGCAAATTATACAAAAATGAAGCTGAGCTTCAGTTGTGGTCTGTGGACAGCATCCCATTATTTTATGATTGAAACACTTAAATTGACCAGTTCATTTAACGCAAGTCATAGTTACTTTGACTACCATAGTTAAGAAACCCTTTTCAATTTCTTTCTTGTTTGCTGTAGGGCCTTGTTAGGACACCTCAGAAACATTGTCTGAAACAATTTGCAAAGAAGAGAGTTAAAAACATCCTCCCACTTCCCGCTTCATTAAATCGCTCCACAGGCAATCCTCTCCAGCATCCACAGCTTCCAGGAAGCATGGGATGAGTTAACTAAAGGTCAGTACATAAAATACAACTGTCCTCAAGTTCCTCTGGCACCATTTTACTCTCTAGTCTTTTTCACAGCATTTCAAATTTATATTAAACACATGGAGGCTTTACTGACATAAGCATCCACTGTAAGAAAAAAGAGAGTTTAAAAAAAGAGAGAGATAGAAAAGTATTTGGGAAAAAGACCAAGTAAGAGAGGAAGTGGAAGCCAAACATGTAGAGAGGAACAGATATTCAGAGGGTGCTTACGGATCAAACGCTGCAAGCAGGAAGTTAAGGAGGAGGCTGATGGACTGCTCCACATGGATTTGGTGAGTGGTTGGCATCCGTTTGTTGAGCTGGTAAAAAATGGTGGAGAGCACAGCCTCTAAGCGGGACACATTGAGTTCAATGTTTGGGTCCAGGTTGTTCAGAGCATTTTCCCGCAATGCTTCTATGACATTCCATATGTCCACCAGGTGCACTACAATTAAAGCAGAGTTAACACATCAGCCCAAAGTAATGGAAGGCAAATACATTAGTTTACTTGTCCCTCTGTCCTGTTTTTTTCTAGGTATCTCACATGTGTGCAGCTGTTGGGGGGGGGGGTCAACATAAGTAAATGAACATAGGCTGTGCATTATCTCCAAGACTTGATGTGCATTATATAATAGCAAGCAAATGATTTACTGACCACTACAATAGATAGTTATTTCCAATCTTCACAGTCACCCTTGAAATACAGCTATTATCCCTATGTTACAAGTAAGAGAACTGAGGATCTGGAAGCTGAACTGACAAATGCAAACGTAGAAGAGAAGTCAATGGCAAAACTGGCATTCAGATCCAAGTCTATCGGTTTAAAAGTTATTTCTCCATTGCGCACCCTGCCCCCTCAAAAAGAAAAGACCAACACTGAAATTCTAGTGTTTGAAAGGATGTCCAAATTACATTTGAGTATTTAAAATGTTTTCATTTATTTATGTGTTTTTTAGTAGTATGCTTTTGGAAATAAGAAAAAAAAAGGAAGTTAAGGTAGGCAGGAAGACAAGGTAAAAAGGAAAAGTTATGTACACACTGCCCCAGCAGCAGAACTAAGTTACAGATCACTGAACTAGGCTAGTCAAGAACAAGAAGTTTCTTGGCTACATTATTACCAACTGATTTAAGTCACGGTTACTTTCACTAGGGTAGTCCAGAAAACGGTTTCTATTTTCTTCCCTACTTGACCTGAGGTCTTGTTATGAGATCCCGGAAACTATGACCATGACCAAGATAAAGAACATGTCCTCACCCTCAAAAGTTTTCTCATGCTCCTCTGTAATCTATCCTCATTCCCTGTTCCAGGCAACCACTGATTTGCTTTCTGTTGCAAATTTCAATTCTTAATAACTGTCATTATATAGTAAACACTCTTTTTTGGGGGCTGGATTTTTTTATTTAGTGTTAACTGTTTTGAAATTTATACATGTGTTGCTGAAAGTATCAATAGTTTCCTCTTTTTATTGCTGAGTAGTATTCCATTATATGGATAGATCAAAATTTGGTTATCAACTCACTTGTTGATGAACATTTGGGTCATTTGTCAGTTTTTGTTTATGAATAAAGTTGCTATGAACAATCACATGCAAGTCTTTGCATAGATACATGGCTTCCATTTCTCTTAGATAATGAGGGATTTAAAATATTAAAATCATTAAAAATTTAAGTAAATACTTAGAAATGAAAAGGCTGGGTTTCATGGTAGGTGTATGTTTAATTTTTAAAGAGAGTTCGAAGGCATTTTCCAAAAGTAGTTGAACTATCTTACATTCCCATCAGCAGTATACAAGAGTTCCAGTTTATCCACATCTTCACCATTTAAGGTTGACTTTTCATTACACTTTTGCATTTGCAAATAAATATTTTGTTTATTCTCAATGAAATATAACAATTAGTTTCCGTTCTTAAGAAATATGGACTGTATATGTACTTTTTCACTAACAGCTCCCTATTTTCTGTCTTCTACCTCATTGCTCACTCCTGGCTCTACACCTAATAAGCAAAACTAGCATCAGCTTCTATTATGAACTGAGCTATGTGACTGTTTTCTTGGCTTTTCTCTTTACTTTTGCTTTTCAGAACAGATCTATGGTTTCTGACTTTTTGTATAAGAGAGTCTTATCACCAATTTCTTCCATTATAATAACAAATGGGCCAACTAGCCAACAGTCTTTTGAAGTCAGATCCTTTTCCCAGGCTAAGTTTAATTGCAGGATCTCTAATCACAGGACCCTAAGAGAGACAGCAATCTGTGCAGATAATTCTGATTTTAAAATAGGCATGATGAAAAAAAATCCTAAAGTGTGGCTCTCATAACTAACTTTGTGTGCATATTGAGATCTAAGAGATGAGTGGATTATGCAAATCCCTGAACTAAAAAAAAAAAAAAAAAAAAAAAACCACACAGGTTACATAGAACTGTTACTGTGTCCTTTACTTGTATTTTTGCTGTTACTTTTAACAATTACTCAAAATAATGTTTTATGTTATGAAGGGAAGATACCTGCACTCAAGGAGCACTGGACTTGGAGTCCAAAGACCTAGGTTGCAAATCTGCCTCTTCTGTGACAAGTGCATGACCTCTTAGCCTCTAAGACTTAGAGTCTCACTTCCTTCATCTATACAATGGGGCTGGCATTCCTAAAAGGGAAAAATGCATAGAGTAAAAAGTGGTAGTTCCTAGTACCTAGCAGACAATGCATTATAGATGAACAAGTGAATAATGTGAGTCATGTCAAAAGAAAAATATATTGCAATATATCTCTGATTTGGAGCAGATAAGTACTAATCACATACTAACTAAAATACTTAAATATTTATTAGTTTTGGAAAAATTCAGATTTAAGTGATTTCAAATTTGCAACCTTCTCTGTGTATCAATAATTAATCAACAAGGAAATTATTTGTATTTCTTGGTGTTATTTATCCAACTCTTCAATCTAGCAAGCAAAACACTCCCAGGGAAATGGCATTCATAAACAAAATTAATTAATTAATTAATTAAAATTCTAGTGAGAAAGAGCTGGGATTCCTCTAATTACTCCCTATAGATTTGATCTGTGAATTTTCTGAATCTAGTCATCAGGACGTGTCTGGGTGCGGGATGCAAGGACAGCAGTGCTGATGACATCCAGCCTGTCGTCCTGCTTGGTCCCTGTGACCCATTCTCACCCAGTTCCTGGTTGTGGATCATCTGGGGAGAGGCACCTGGGGAACAGGCATCTGGGGAGAGGAGCATGGACTGGGAACTTGGGCATGGGAGGGAGATGGGTATATGTTAAGAAAGCTAAATGGCTATTGGCAGAGGGAGGGAATCTGGATGCTTAAGTTTCTCTCAATGAGCCATTGTAAGGAACAGGAAACCCTTTTAGAATTCCCAGGGGTGGAATTATCCAGGCCCATGGGAGTGACCGCAGGAGTGGCCTACATAAAGTTTCCCACATATGCATGCCCACATAAGGGTTCTTTAGGTACTTCAGCCTCAGCGTGAGCAGCCTGTACTCATCTCTCCCCTTGCTGGCCCTGGGATTCCCTTCCTTGGTGAATGCCACCATCCTCCCGCTCCCTATTCTCCCTCCAGGGAGATTTAATTTCTGGCTTCTAGCAATGACCAAGTCCTATGGACTGTATATCTCCTAAACATCACTGTAATCCTGCCATTTCCATGAGCCTTTATTGCCACCACCCAATTTCATTACCCAATGCTATCATGCTTACTGGTTGGCTGAGTCAGTTCTTCATTCTTTCTGTACTCCCTTTCTACTCACTGCAGCCAGAGTGTGATTTCTAAACTGTAATTTGACATGTCACTTATATGCTGCTTAAAATCGTATGCTTTGCTTGGAGAATGGCATGAACTCGGGAGGCGGAGCTTGCAGTGAGCCAAGATTGTGCCACTGCACTCCAGCCTAGGTGACAGAGCGAGACTCTATCACACACACGCAAAAAAATTGTATGCTGCTTAAAGTCCTTTAATAACTTCCCATTAATCTGAAATCTAAACAAGGATTACAGTTTTTTTTTTCCTTTCTTTTCTTTTTTCATCTAGCCTCTGTGTATTGTTATCTACATCTCATCTACTCTACCTTGGTGTCAACATCACTTCCTCAAGGATATCTGTCAACATCACTTCCTCAAGGATATCTTTCTGGGCTGGATCAGAAACCTGTCTCCAGGTTTTATACCCTTCACATGCACCACCTTAGAGCTCTGTCCTTCCCCATCACAGCATGTAGTGCGCACTCTTGGGTGGACCAACAGGTTGTCTGTTTCCCGTTCTGTGTTGCATGTGGCACAGGACGAGACTGTGTCTATCGTGATAACTGTCCACACCCCTAGTGCCCCTCACACTGCCTTACACATCCTTACACATAGGAACTTGGTAAATGTCTTTTGACTAAATGACAGAATGACAAAGAAATGACTCAACAGTGAAACAGGGTTTTCTAAGGATGCATTTGCTTTCGAAAAAGCAATAAGGCATAGTCATGAAGAATCATAGACACACTGGTTTGAATCCTAGGTATCCCGTCAGTCTAATTACTTAACTTCTCTGAAGCTTCATGTTAGAAAAGTGGAGCTGAAAATAGCATCTACTTTCAGATGATTACTATGAGAACTGAATAAAATAATGCCTGTAAAAACTTGGAATAGGGCATGTCATGTAGGAGATAATAACTATTATTATGAACAAATACTAGAAATCATATGAAAGTTATTAAACATAAATATGCTGCATTTACATGCTTACATATTCAAGGTCCTAATATAAGGAAACGTAAAAGAAAAATATTTTGTTAAAAATAAAATAATTCTGGCTAACTGTGAGAATAGATAATTAAAAAATGATTTAAGTAAAACTAGTTTTCATAATTATGTGCAAACACTATGGTAGATCGTGAGGACTCAATACAAACAATACAGATGTGGTTCCTGCCTATGGGAGCTAACAGTCTGGGGGGAATACAGACATGACTCACATAATCACACAAACGGATGATCAGAAATGGTGACATACTGTGACATATAGTATGCTAGGTATAAAATGGGATTATGATATGGTCATGATGGGGCCAGGAGAACAAGATCAGGTTGCAGGAGCACCATAACTGTGATAAGGATGTGGCTCTTTATGCTGAGTATGAAGACATGGGTTTTAAGTAGGACAGCGACATGATAAGGAATGCAGCTTACAAATGTCATTTCTGACTTTAAGGTAAGAAAGGAGTGGAGACGGAGAGGCACACAGTGGGAAGTAGTTGGAGCATATTGTTTTAGTTCCAATAAGGGTTGGCAGTATTTTTGTATACAAGGTGGTACTATGCAGAAAATACTGTTGTCATGCACACTGTACCCATATGTTCCAGCGGTGGCATAGTGGAAAGAATTCAGATTTTGCAGCCACAAAGATTAAGGTTTCATTCCTGGCTCCAGAAATAACTG